TATAGTGTACGTAAAAGAAAGACTTTATTTAGGCATTATTCTTCTGCCATTAAGAGTATCAAGAATCAAGATTCTGAGGCAATTCATATAATTATATATTTGATTCTATAGACTATTGATTAAATTATGTATTTTAAATTATGTATGTATTTATTACATATGTTCTGTAGCATTCAATCATAATTACCCTAAGCGCTGTAGCATACCATGGAGAACATACAAGAAATTATAATACTTTGTTTATTGAAATGCAGTTAACTTAATTCAAATATCTTTAAATTAATTAAAATAACAACACGGAAGCTATAACAATAGGCACACAGATTTAGGATTTCCCATACTTTTATTTATGTGAATATTTTTTAAGCTACATTGTTGAAAACTTTATTAAATACTTGGTGGAGGGTGCAGTTCTTCTCTTTGATGAGAAGGCATTCAAAGGGTGGGAACAGCTACCTATAGTGCCAATTTCTGAGTCCTCTCTCATTGTACTTCACACAGTGTAGGGACCCTCAACAGACATTCTTCCCAAGTACTTTTTGACTAGGCAATCTTGAAGATAACCAAGCCCCAAGCTATGTAGGACTTTATATATAATCATCAGTACTTTGAACTGTACCAGAAACAAACCCTAAAATAATTCAATTCCACAATACTAATGTTGTCTGACAATACCAGGTTGTCTGTGTTAACACATGGGCTGGGCATTATGCATTGGTTTCAGTTTCTGGCTGGTTCTCAAGGGCAGTCCCTTAATAAAGCATATTATGATAGTCTGCTCCTGAGGTGACAAGGACATTAATTATTGTAGTCAATGCCTTGTTTTTCAGAATGGTTACAACTGTGCAAAGGCCCTTCCAGAAAGTTTCCACCTGTTGTTCCAGCAGAAGCTGAGAGTCCAAGAGTTCGATTAGATTCTATACCAGTTCTTTTAGGGAAAAACAACTTCATCTAAAACCAAAAGTGGCATTATCCAGAACCAATTAGCTTCTGATATTACAGCCATTCCATTTTGCTAGGGTTGAGTCTCAGCTTGATTCTCTCCATCCAGATCCTTAGAACCTCCAGGTGCTACCTCACAAATTTCATGTTTCTTGAACATTCAAGTGCAGAGATGTAGAACATTAACATAATATATGATACTGAAGGCCAAAATATTGGAGGACCTCCCCTACTGACTTCATGGAGATATTTAATAAAATGGGGAGATGCTGAGTCCACCCTTCATACACACTATCTGGAACCACCGACTACTTAGGAAAGAATAGAATCATTTACAAATGGTACACCCAATTCCCAATCCTCATAGGTGGTCTAGAAGGATACTTGGTTGATGGGATCATGGATTGCTGTAAGATCTAACAGACCTTGTTATTCTTCCCCCATTGAAGCCCACAGTAGATAAGGCATTATGGATTTAAGATGTATCATTAGAGAAAGCAGAGCAAAAAAAACCATATAAGTATCAATGGCAATAAATAATATTCCATTGCCAATGCGCCAAACATTCAGCAATATGTTAACTTAATTCATATAAAAATATGATTGTACCTTTTTAGAGAAAATAAATTATTGCCTGGCAGAACAGAAAAAATATCAATTCTCCAAATGAAAGAGACATCATATGCACTAAAAATGTTTATAGAAGTCTTATAAAATAGTATAGCCTTTATTGTCATTATATATTATGTATACAATGAAATTTGTTAGTTAAAGTAGTCATCCTGTAGATATTCTATGGAACTTTTCTGTAATTCTCAGACAACAAGGATTATGAAAGTGAATTTATTCCATTTCCTCTTCCGACAAAAAAGAATTACTATTTATCCCAGAAAAACTGTTCTCTAGCTCTTCACAGACTTAGAACCAAACCAGCATGCTTGGTGACATTTGGCCACACCATATATCTTTAAATCTCAAAAACAAGAGATAGAAATTACAATCAATGCATAAACTAATATGAAACTAAAAATAGCACTCTACTTAAGTGCTTCTCTGTCTAATATAATTACTGAAGCCAATCTAAACCAGGAAGAATAAGCTTTTTAATTTGGATATTGTGGGTGCATGACTTTAAATCAATTCTATATTCATTTAACTGTATTCAGTTTTACAAACAATACAGTCCAATTACTAAAGGAACAAAGCAGAGAAACAAAGCTTATTTTAATAATATAATAATTTCATTAAATTATATACTTAGAAAGATTAATACAAACTAAGGAAAATATAAAGAGTAAAGAAAGGTAGAAAAAAGAAAGAAAAGCAGGAAAAATATCTACTTCTTCTTCCAGACAAGTATAAACAATTTCAGTATCTTAACTAGTACTTCAATTTTTAAAAATGCTCTTATTTCCTGATGTCATTCCTTATTAATAATGAAATTGTAAAAACTCATCATTCAAACTCAATCAGCAAAAGGCTACTAAGAGTTACCAGAAATAGTAACATGTATATTTTAACCTATCACTTTCACTAAGAAATAAAGCAAAAAAAAAAAAAAACCTTCTCCCCACTTATAAACAAAACTTTAATTTCTCTTTATCTCCTTTCAGGATCAACTTCCCTAGTTTTACACATCCCAAAAATTGGAGGGGGGATCCAAAATAGGAAAGCTCTGCAGATCATTATTTTGATTTATTATTTGTATGTCCCCTTTATTTTTATATTACTTGTTCTCAAACACAAATTCATTGTTACATCCTTTTCTATACTAGTCTTGTAATCTGGCATTTTTAAAAAATCCATTTTTAAATCCACATTTAAATCAGCCTGAGTCTCTGTTTCTTCCAGTAAGATCTATTCTTTTCTATATTCTACGTTAGATCCATTTTTAGGGTTGCCAAACAGCCTTAATTTGTGTTATTGTCAAATAGGATAACTCCATTGTATTAATGGGTCTCTTCTCCTTTAATTGTAATCTTTAATTCTTTCTGTTTCCCTCTAGTCAACCTTCAAGTACCTTTATTGTCATATATTTATTTTCTAATCAGAAAAACCTTCCCATTGACATTTTGTACAGTTAATTTCAGAATTTTCATATATTTGTCTATAAAGTTTTCAATGCCCTACAGGAAATATTCTTTCAAATTCATCCAACCCCTTAACATTCTAGAATCAACATTCTATATATATGTGTGTGTCAATAATTTAATAAACAGAACAAATAATCACCAGGGGCATTAAGAACAGATATGGAAGCATATAAATTTAGAAACTTCAATTATGCAGACACAGCAGAGGTCTCTTTGCATACAGATATGTTTAAGAATTCTCAGAAACAACTTCTTAATTTAATAATTGGTTGACTGTTTTATTCCTATTAATGAAAAGCCTCATGACATAATCCTCACTACCTCTAAACAACTGTTAAGCTGTTGCAAAACACTTTAGGAACAAATTTAGGAACAAGTTTTGCAAGATATCTAAATTTGACACTCATTCACTAAAACTTGTCTCCTTTTCTGTAGTTCCTTTTCTTTTTAAGGAGAATTGGTGGAAATGACAAAAGGGAAGAGATCAAGCATTCCTTTTCCTTCATGTGCTAAATAGATGGTACATAAAAACACACTATCACTTTCCAAAATCCCCAAAAAGTTGGTAGGAACTGCCAGTGTCATTTGAGAAGAAAAGGAAGTTGTTCAAAATGTAGCAAAGGAGAATATATAAACATTTAAACTAACTCTCATAAGGCCCAGGTAGAAAATCTAGAAAGTACAAATTCAAAGTCCTAGAAACTCCACCTTAATGACCTCATTAATAAGTGATGGTCAAAGCTTTGTTTTGTCCTTTTGTTAATCTTAATGGTAATAGTAACAGCTTTAACAGCAAAAAGCAAGATTACATGAGCAGTAATGCCTACGTCCATTTGTTTATTAAAGCAAGAAGAAAGAAAATCAATAAAAGTGAAGGGCTTTTCATTTAAAAAAATAGATTGTGCAATATTATTTTGTTTACTTATTACTTATTACTTATTGTTTACAAAACAGCATAAAGTTGGTTCTTGAAGCAAAATGCACGCCTGAAAACGCATAGAGATAATCAGTTAATGACAATTCAAAATTATGATGGACCTATCCAGGACTAATTAACTTGGTTTTGAAATTCCAGTGGCCACTCATCTAAGCTCATGTGATCATATTTTGCTTGCCTGGAAAAGGCCCTCATTTACAACTGTTTGGGGGGTCCTATTTTCATATGATCCTGATTTTTGCCAGAAACCAGTGTTTAGATCCAGTTTCCAGCAAAAAATACCCATCAGGTACAATGGATTTGCTTAATAACTGCTATAGTCACTTAACAACTTGTGCAAAAAAGTGTGTAAAACCAGGCAAGGCCATGTGGTGATTTACTTAATGACCAGCATGACTTACATAATCTGGGCTCAAATTACAGTTGTTATGTTGAGGCCAGTCATATTTTGTTAGAATGAATTATCTTTCATGCTATAGTACTAAATATTCATATGTTGAGTAAATCAGAAACAAAAAGATATGGCAATGTAGTCCAGAAGGCTAATCTATATCTAATCTATAATCTATATAATCTATATCATATATATTTCTCTTTAGATCACCTGAATTATGCTTCAACGTTTGAGAATTTTAATATTTCATTGCTCTGAGGTTTATTTACATGGCCATACTTGATTTGCTACAATTAAATCAATAAATCATGAACTTTTGTCTGGAGATTCCATAATGCATAATTTAGAATATACTGTATGTTTGAACAAACTGCATGCAATATCTGCGGATCTCACTGCATGAAAAGTAAATACATGATTGGAGTTACTATAATACTAATCAATCACAGATGGTCGTATTCCAATAATTATGCTTTTATGGTTTGGTTCAAAAAAGTCAGTTATATTGCTACTAGTGACATAATTATGCTTCTAGGGCTATAAATGATTTTTATTCAAGGAACATCATGGATTTCAATAGATGGACATTGATAGCAAAATAAATAAATAAATAATGATAATAATAAAAACTCACCATTATTGATCAGGATATGAAGTGGGAAATTCTTTGCCTTAAACTCTTTAACAAATTGATATATGGACTTCATAGAAGCCAAATCACAGTATAAAAATTCCACTGAAGGAGAGAGGAAAACAATTACAGATCACTGACAAGCAAAACAAATGTAAATGTATATATACAATTTATGAAAGTATAAATTATACAATTATACAATTTTCAAATTTATTTGAAATGTTATTTGTAGCCTTCCAATATTTCTGCAGGCATGAAGTAGCCGTGATGGCGGAGTGGTTAGAATGCAATACTGCAGGCTACTTCTGCTGACTGCTGGCAGTTCGATTCTCACCAGCTCAAGGATGACTCACCCTTTCATCCAGAGGTGGTATTCAGCTGGTTCTCTCCAGTTTGGGTGAACCGGTAATGGCAGCTGCAGGAGGCTCTGCCCACCTGCCCCGACGTAATGCGTGAGCACTGCACATGCCCAGAAGGCTGTGCGCATGCGCAGATGCAGCATGTGCAAGCAAAGTAAGTCCCTGAGCATGTGTGCTCACATTTGCGAAACTGGTAGGGAAGGTAAGTGAATTCCACCACTGCTTCCATCCTTCCGAGGTCAGTAAAATGAGGACCCAGATTGTTAGGACAATATGCTGACACCGTAAACCGCTTAGAGAGGGCTGTAAAGCGAAGCAGTAAAGTGAAGGGCTGTAAAGTGAAGCGGGATATAAGTCTAAGTGCTATTGCTATTACTTCAGGATGTGTTGCTGTTTTTTCTTTAAATTTCATATTTTACATTTTATAATTAGTTTTGCATTCTAAGATGTATAGAATCATCATGGAAATAAATAGTTCCCAAGATCCCATTTTAAAGATTCATGGATATGCTTTCCCTTATATGTAGCTTTATTAAGAAACATTTGTCAGTTTGATTACCACGGTAATAAAAGTTATATACGTTTTGCCAATCTTGATTCCACTGGTAGACAAATTCCTGTTTTGGTGAAATGAACACTACAGAAATTGTTTGCCACTGTCTTCTCTCAGGGTGCATTTTTGACTTTCTTGTCTATCCAAGTATATGACCCTGCTAAGCTTTTCAAAATCAGCAAAGGTCACCTTTGTAAAAACTGTATTTGGCCATTTGTAACGCCACAACTTATATTTATTTCAAAATCATGTATAAAGATTTCCTCAGAAAACCAATATTTAATCATTATATTTATTTGTAGGCTCTTCTGCTCAATTGATGGCATACCATTACTCAAATCCATAATTTTAGTTAAAAAACAAAATACATCATTTAATAATTTAATCAAATCCCAAAGCCATAAATCACAATAAAATAATTTTAAATAAAACGTTTTAACCAAAATTAATAACCCTTCTCTCCCCTCCTTGTTATGCAGATGAAGAGTCATAAAAATTCTTCTCCAACGTTTGAGAAAACAATTGCCTTTAGAGATTTTTTTTGCAGATTGGAAAGCAGAGGGACATTTGAATATAATTTTGCAGAGGAAGGAGAAAACAAATAAAAAGGCATTTTTCTCTTTTTCCTATAGATAGCAATATTTAGTTAAGAGAATATGAGAAAGACTAGAGTTGTGGATGTTGCCAAGGGGAGAACATGTTACTGGGAGGTGATACCAGGCTCCGAACCACGAGGAGCTCTAAGACAATAATCAGCATCTTGAATTCTCCTTGGAAGCTAAGTAATAGTGTTATGATTGTCTTGATGTTTAGCCAGAGGTATTCAAGTGACCACAATCTGGAGCAGTTGTAGCTTCCCAATGTTCTTCAAGGGAGTCCAATTCAGTGTGTGTTGTAACAGTCTAATGAAGGTTTGATTAACAATGATTTTTTTTCCTGTTAACAAAAATGGTTTGTACATAACATGAAGTTGTGAAATGCCCTCTTGGACACTGCTGATAGCTATCCCTCAAGCAAAAGTTGTGAGTTGAAATTGTGAACCAGTTTCATTTGGAAAAGAAGATGGGAGTTATATCAGAACTTAGTTACTAAGTCAAAAGGCAACAAAATTTGATGGAGTATCTATAAAACTATGGAGACAACAGAATAATAAACAAAGATTTTAACCAAGCTATTTCACCAAATCTGGATAAACACACTGTAGCCATTAGATTGAAAGATCTAAATTTCAGTATCGAAGAAAGAAGACTTAACAGAGCATGTTAGCTAACATACAATAACTTTATTTTATATGCCAATAAATTGATGGCACCATCCAATACAAACTAGAGATGCCAGATGGCCATGCCAGCTTTAAAAAGACTGAGGAATACAAGACATTATTGCTGCTGCTGATGTACAATGGATAATTGGGAAACACAAAACATACAAAAATATGTTATGTGCATTTCTTTGATTATAGGAAAAAAATTCAATTGTCTTAATAATGGCATATCATTGTCTTCATTTAAAACCTATATACAAGTTGAGATGTCAATTTGGATAGAACATGACAAAACAGACTGGCAGAGAAATGAGGCAAGCCTGCTGATTTTGACCTATAAATCCTTGTACAATTTGTCTACTGGATTCCTTAAGAATAGTATATTGTTTCAGTGCAAGCAAACATGCTCATCATTCTTATTCTTAAAAGAAATCACAGGGGCATAAGCAATAAACCAGTCCTTTGAGGTAGCCCCCTTGCTCTGGAATACATTTCTCCAATACTTCTTCCCTGACTTTTTTCCACAGAGTTCAGATAATGGTTTTGTTATAGTCATTGCTCAGCAATTGATTTTTAATACTGTTGCTATGATTGTAAGTCATTTTGGGTCCTGTTTTTCTTGGATTAATATCTAATTTATATCGTACTTTCAATTTTATTGTAAATCAGAGAATCTCATTTTGATACTGAGCAAAAAAGTATATAAATTCATTTATGTAAAATAAATACATACATACATAATAATGCATACCACAACTTCATAGTTTCAAAAGACAATCCATTTACCTCTGCCTAATATACTTCACATTTACTGCTATGATCAAAATGTGCAAATCAGTCAAAGCTCCTTTGGAATAAGACAGCATGCAATGCAAATAATTAATAAACCTCTTACTTCTTTGTTCTAACTACCCTCTGTGGGCGAAATTAAAAGTAAGTGGGGTTCAAAATCTAGTGATACATCATCATAAATTGCACATTAGAATTTGATTGTAAAGCAGAACCTACATTCAGCCAAGCCTGAAAATTCTACTCTTCAAAGAACAATTAGGACTTTCAGAAGTATCCTATTTATAATTTGTAAAATGCCCACAGTATTATTGTCAGCCTCTGCTTTGCTGCTGCTTCGGCTGCCATGAAACGGGGAGGGAGGGCATGATATTTGGGAGGG